TCCTAGGTTTAGACAGAGTGGATTATGTGAGTAACCCATAGACCTTTGAAAGATCTGGACAGAGTTCCATAAATGAGCTCCTCTGGCAGGCGAGTTTGCGTTGGCTGGGTTATGTAGCACTCACACGCAGCCACAGCATTGCCAATGTTGTATATATAGGCCCTTTTCCAAAAATTAATATTAAAAATAATTCTGCCATTTTTTCTATAATAATCTATAAAATAAATAAATCACCCTCAAACCCGCTACCTCCCACAAGCACCAAGCAGCTGGAGGTCGTAAAAGGTCATTAATAATAAACTCCAGGGCAAACGGAGGTTAACAACTATCTGCAAAATATCCAGATTGCCAAAGGACAATTCACAAACAAATGTCCAGAATCTTAGAGCACAGGGTAAACGGACATTTTAACCGATATATATTTTTACGAAAAAGTTAAAGCTTGGTTATAAGAATAAGTCGACATGATAGACTGCAGTCTATATTAGTGGCTTTATTATTACTTATTTTATTTCACCCTTATTCAACTCACATATTGTTTCTTATTGTATATTTATATGTATATAACGTCACCAAGAGATCCAAGGAATGTGAATTCTGGCAGTCAAGAAAGTGAGGGCTTGGTTATACCTCCAGCCTCGTGATATCTCTGACCTCGAGAATAAAAAGTACGGATCCCTGGATGCAGACAAGGAGCAAAAGTTAATAAAACCCTTGAAATGCCGGAGGTAACATCTAATGACATTACAACTCTTGGTTAAACATAAACCAAATAATAATCACAAGAGATTAGACCTAGGCTAATTCATTAGAGGTAGAAGAAATAGGTCAAACACACAAAGACCAGATAAATGCATTCCATGAAATCAGAGCCTCCCAACCGTCTTTGTCTTCCCGCAGCACGGGATAGCAAAATAATGTAACACCCCGAGCAGGGGAAATGACTCATCGCCAGAGGGCTCGGTTTATTGCCGTGAAGGCGTCTGTGCCCACAGATGAAAAGACGGCTTAATAAATGACACACACACACGGACACGCGTACTGCCCCCCCCCCCCCCTCACAACACAGAACGAGATCAAAGGGAGTTCCGGTCCTTTGTGAGAAGGCGAGCCAGAGGGAGAAATTTTGGCATAAAAAGAGAGACACGCCAGCATTGAATGATCCCAGCTACCAGCGGCACAAGACGGCGACCATCAGTTCGACAAGAAGACACACAGCAGCTCAGAAGAGGACAGCAAGCTGGCTCCGAGGCATGGCCTCGAGATAAACAATGCGTGTGGTGCATCGCAGAGAAGAGGGGCGAGGTGATGCTCTGTGCTGAGTTCGGCATGGACCGACAGAGTATCGCTGAAAAGTTATTCTCAGCGTCAGGCAATCAACCAGAGAGAGAGAGAGACGGAGCAAGAGAGAGAGCGCGCAGCAGCGCCACCAGCGCCACCAAGCAAGGGTGACAGCTGCCAGCGGACAAGCGTTGTGCCGACTCGGCTCATCCAGCAGGGGAAAGAGCCTGACCAGCCGCCCGTGAGCAAGACTGTCAGCGTCAGCGTGCACGCCGTGGGTTCGACCCACACGCACACCGAGCAGCACCAGCTGGGAACCAAGACAAGAGTGGGGAACTGCTGCCAGCGCACCAGCGACCGAGCATCTCCAGGACGGGCATCGTGCCGACGCAGCTCATCATCCAGCGGCAGAGAGAACCGGCAGCCAATGTCAGATGCCGAGCGATAGAGGGAACCAGCCGTCGTTCGTATACCCTCCCCCACCCTCACAAACCCACGACGCTCCCTGCGTCTGCTCACACAAGAATTTACCAAAGAGACAATCCACCGCATCCACACAATATTAAGACTAATTATAAAAGTGCATGAACCATCAGCTGGCCGTGAAGGCATCGTGGCTCATCGAGTGATAAGAATACGTCGTTTATAAGTACATTAAAATTTTTTCCTTAATATTTTTTTACGTGATTTTACTTCCAATCGCATAAATTACCAATAGATTCATCGATACAAACTAAACATTTTGAAACCTTCGTCACGATTCTATACGCTCACAGAGAGAATATCGTGTTAATAAACCTGTTTCTTTATCATGTAATCTTGTCCACGAATTAATTAAACTTAACCAAAGATAAGAATCTCCTGTGAGAGAGCACGAACACCATCGCACACCCTTATCCCAAGACATTTAGTTAATTATATGATCTTGCCGATGAATCTATTGACGTATACTTTTGCCTTTGGGGTATAACAATTTGCTTTTATTGCCTTCGTATGAAAATTGTTGCATGTATTTTTAAGGACTTTTGGTTCCTATCGCCGTATATGCTCGTGTTACTCTGAGGAAGTAATCAATTGTTCTGTTACCCAGTTAACAAACGTGATCATTGAGGGTTAAATGTATGGATCAATGAGGGGAACATCTCCAGGAGTACTGTGTTGACAATTCCAAGCATAAGAATTCGCATATTAGAGTGTTAAGGTTTTGTTTAGAGATTAAAATTGCTTAACACAGAAGTGTTTGAGTGTTTCTTTCCTGAGTTCATGCAGAATAATCTTAATTACAAGAACTGTATCCTGCGGTGAGATTTGAATTTGGAGACCTGACATAAAACACACTAATACATAATCAGTAAATGTTAAAGCGAGAATAATTGTATTATACCGATCGATAATACGAACCGAGAAGCTGAACTTAATCTGGCGTACTTACAGCACACCTGCATAACTTCATACGATTCGTTGTCTTATCCCGATTGATCAGGGGTTACCAAATTACGGCCTGCGGGCCGCATCCGGCCCGCGACGTCAGTCCATCAGGCCCGCCGACGGTACTTGAATTTGGTTGATACAACGTATGGAACACGAGACGTTGTGATACAATTTAAATATGTTTAGAATACTAGGAGATCTTCACGCGTGCGGAGACCTCCTGACTGCCTTAAATTTACTATTTTAAATTATTGTATCTAGTTTTTCTTGTTTATTGTAATGTTTGCTTATTTCGCGCCATCCCAAGTACTTTCTCGGCTCGTGGTAGCTCCGCCTACGCTTTGATGTTACCATGGTTTCCATGGCAACACGTTACCATGGTTTCCATGGCAACACACACAAACACGCATCTTTCCCGCCCTCAGATTTTCCAGCTGTCAACACAGGTCCGACGCTCCAGAAATATTTATTTATTATGCGGCCCTTGCGCTCGTCATTCTTTCAGTTATCCGGCCCACTGTGAAAAAAGTTTGGTGACCCCTGCCGATTGATGATACGACCCTCCTCAGTGAGGCAGGGCTTAATTATCATAACGGCTCACATTCGCATAATCGCATACATTTGCATAAATTGATACGATTATCTCTCTAGTTAACATAACTTATGCGCATAATTACATCGATTAACATGATTTAGGATAATGACGTTTTAAAAAAAAAAATACTCTTTATTATTTTAACCAAAATTTCAATAACTGGCATATACAACACCAAGCAGCGTCCGTTTGGCCAGATAGAAAAGCAAAACAGTCACGGAATGGGATGGAGAAGAGATGGGCTGATGTGGTACGAGAGGATGTGGAGCTGTTTGGACTTTCTAATGACTGTTACCAGCGGTGTCAAGATCGGCCCATGTGGAGTAGGCTCAATAAGGATACGGCTGGGCAATCAGAGGCAGTCCTCCAACAACATCAGAGGGAGAGTGACGCTCACAACAAGCAGAGCACAGGATAGTTAAAGTTTAAGTCGGCACAGTGGGAGCACAGGCCGTATACATCTTTCAGTCATCAGCGGTCTTCACTGCAAGGCCCGCAGGCCACTGGCGGCCCCTGGTGGCCTTTAGTGCGGCCTCTGGCATGGGGCGCCCGTCAATATACAAATCTGAAAACACCCCCACCCATCATCATCATCATCATCGTGCTGCTGTCAACCCCGAATGATTTCAAATGTGTGGTGACCCTCACGCTGATGATGTCTTATCGGCGAATTGCGTCCCCCCCCCCCCCCCCCCCCCCCGCTGAAGATTAGTGAAGACCACTGCCAAGACCGCTTCTGTTCCCATGACCTCCTGCCACCAGCAAGAGCCTCAAGGTAAACCTAGCCTGGCACGCGCGCTGCTGGGCCGTTACCGACACTTCGGTGCGAATGGCGACTTGTTCTTGTTACAATGCAATTGCAACTCCCTCCATCCCGTGAGGTGCGCATGGCTCACATCCACATTTACAAGTGCCACTTTTTATTTTGAGCTCACTCAGAAAGAAACAACACGCGCGCACACTGCACGCATTACGCACGGTTCGGCAATGGATCCTGTTTGGCACGGCAATTTGAACGTGCACAAACTAAACACAGCCACTCGCAAATGAAGTGCAGCGCAAATGGTGATCCCTACACCGGGGAAAAAAAACCGCAAGAGAAATGTAATAACTTATCTCCGTTACAATGATGGTGACACAGGTGCAGCGGCGGTCGCGTTGCAGTGTAGTGCACTCTGCTACGCATCCAGAAAACTGAGCGAAGATTCCCAGCCACGGCTAACATCAGTGGCGAGAAATGTTTGAACCTTCGCCTGCCCGTACTGGCCAGTGTGGTGAATTATGATAAAAAAAATCATTGCTGGATTGCTCGATGTTATTTGCAAAAGCACGCCATCTGTAAGATGGCCCTAGTCCACATAAAACATGGTAATGTGAATGTAATAATCATGTATGCACGCACATATATGTGTACAGGCGTATGTGTCGATGGGTATAATGTGTGTATGGGTGCATGTGTATCTGTGTGTATGGGTATTCGTGTGTGTGGGTGCATGGGTAGTCGTGTGTGTGGGTGCATGGGTATTTGTGTGTGTGGGTGCAGGGGTATTCGTGTGTGTGGGTGCATGGGTATTCGTGTGTATGGGTGCATGGGTAGTCGTGTGTGTGGGTGCATGGGTATTCGTGTGTGTGGGTGCAGAGGTATTCATGTGTATGGGTGTAGGGGTATTCGTGTGTGTGGGTGCATGGGTATTTGTGTGTGTGGGTGCAGGGGTATTCGTGTGTATGGGTGCATGGGTATTCGTGTGTGTGGGTGCATGGGTATTCGTGTGTATGGGTGCATGGGTAGTCGTGTGTGTGGGTGCATGGGTATTCGTGTGTGTGGGTGCAGAGGTATTCATGTGTATGGGTGTAGGGGTATTCGTGTGTGTGGGTGCATGGGTATTCGTGTGTATGGGTGCATGTGTATCCGTGTGTATGGGTGCATGGGTATTCGTGTGTGTGGGTGCATGGGTATTCGTGTGTGTGGGTGCAGGGGTATTCGTGTGTATGGGTGTAGGGGTTATTTGTGTGTGTGGGTGCACGAGTGTCACGTGCACAGGTGTACGTGCGCAGTGACAAATACGACCGGAAGCAGATGGATGGCTTTACTGCTCTAGCAAATCGCCCGATAATGCTGGATGATGTAATTACCAGCGAAACGTCGTACTACTCAAATTGTAAATGTTGTGGATTTACTCTCCAACACACCGGTGGGCTGAAGTAGTAACTAATTGGCGTGTTGTTTGCGTGACAAATCCCTTCCTGATTGGCTGTGTCGGGTGGTGGAGCGTTACAACACGTGTCAACTTATGCGATCTAACCCAAAAACCTTTATTATGAGCAGAGAGTGACCAGCAAGGGGTTTCGGGTAGATGGCCACGCCACTGCTGGAGGCCATCTCGGTGCGTGTGGGATGCACCAATTCATCGGGGGCATGAAGGTTCGTGTGGACACCGGAACCACGCACAAATCGTAGCACTGTGGATGACAGCGCAGCAGATGTCGTAACAAGGCGACCGGACGTCGACTTGTCAATCTTCAGGTGTGGCGATCAGACAATCGTGAACAATCTGCATCACTTTGAAAAAAAGTTCGTGCAGGCTGGAATCACGGTAAGGGTAATAATGCCCGGATGGTAATGTATAATCTCGAGCTACAAGGCAGTTGCAGTAGGGCAACGATGGCGATACTGCTCTGATGATTCTGAACAAGGATTACAGTGGTGCACAGCTGGTTTAAACAGATGTCGCTCTGCTTCAGAGCTGCTGGTCCGCAATCAGATTGTGTGCAGTGCACACGCAGTGCCGTGGTGTAAGGTGACGTGGGAAGACCCCGCCAATGGCTCGCAATGGTCACGGATCACGCCTTGAGCTTGGGAGTTCTCAATGTGTTACGTTATGTTCTCCTTTGAACAGTGTTGATCCTCTTCAAGGCTCACGGTGGCGGCGCTGCTGCTGCTGCTGCTGCAGCCTCCGCCGCCAACGACTCCATCCGCACGCCTCCGCCGCGGCCTGCGACACAACCACGGACACCGCGCGCGTAGCGGCTCGGCGTTCCCTCCCGAGCGTTTGCGGGTTGCAGCCAGTGCCGTATTAAGCTAGTGCAGGGCCTGTAGCACATGATCTTATTAAGGGGCCCTAAATAAAAAAAAACGTAAATATTAAAACACAAATTTTTTAACGTGCGTAGTAAAGTAATTGTATTTTTTCATTTGCTATACGGCCAGATAATACCACAAATCGCTAACCGTAAACACCCAGTCGTTCATAAAAGTTGAAGGCGGTCTAGTATTATAGTAATAGAGCGAGTGCAGAATCACTGAACCGGAATTGGCCCTTGAAAGTGCGAGGCCCGTAGCTACTACTACACATGTAGCTACTACTACACATGTAGTAGTAGCTACTACTACACGCGGAGTAGTAGCTACTACTACACGTGTATTAGTAGCTACAGCTACTGGTGCTGCTAGGATAATCCGGCGCTGGTCGCACAGCGCATTGCTCTACAGGTCGATAACTATTCACGGCGGTTTAAATCTTAGATTGAAAGCTCATTTCTTTTGGACTGCTTGTAGTGTTTAGTTTGTTGTCCTTCCCCGGCACCTCCGATTAGCGTGGTTGTCCACGTACGGTGCGAAAGAAGTTCAACACGCATGCGTACACTGATGGGTGAAGGCATCTCCGCAACGTGTCGATCGTCGGGATTGTTTGACCATCATTCATCGACAAGTGTGGTCAGGGTCGCGAAGGGGAAGTGGAGTGGGGGGGTGAGATGGCAGATCTGTTCAGATATCACTCGCCACTGATGTTGGCCGCGCCCCTCGGAATCGAATTGATAGGGCAATCCGATAACTGCCGTGCCACCGCTTACCCCGAATTATAATTAGGAAGGAAATATAGAGCGAGATCTATGCGTAGGCATCACATTGAGTTCTAATGACCCCCTTTACGATATTAACAAAATTAATAAGCAGACAATGTCTGCTTATGTCTGCTGATGTCTCCTGCACATATTCGTCTCCCCCCCCCCCCCGTGAAACAAAGAAAATTATTTATTTCACAACTCCGTACTTTCTTCCCAATGTTTGAATCAGCTGCTGTGAAAGCGACGACTCCTCATGTCAGAGGAGAGTGTTGTTAACACCATTTAATCTGCGCTACGAGGAACGGAACCCGTCGGGCAGAGCCCCGACCGTGTATTGTTATACATCGAGGAACGGTGAGAGGTGGCGATGCCGACCAGGGGAGGCCTTCACCCAGCAGTGGATGAATCAGCGGCCGATGATGACGACGACGATGGTGATGATTGAGATTGGTAGGAGACATGTAGAGGCTTCAGAACGAAAGGTACAAGTCGTGTCTGTATTTTAGACGGGGCATCGATGTGTCACCCTGCATTATGCTGCGAGTGGCTCTCATCTTGGTCAATGAAGGAAAGTCGACGGTGGTGCCGGGTCACTGCTGAGCACCTCTGAGAGAAGTGGTGGCGTCCTCTTCCTCCTCTTTCTCGTCAGCACCGTCAGTTGCCGCTTGGGAGGTTTTTGTTAAGTCGCCGGTCCTGAAGAGGCTGTAGGACGCAAGAGTCAGATACGCCATGAAACAATACCGAGCATCTCAATAAGCATGTTGTAATCCTTAACGAGAATGCTCAACAACAATGCTCGCCGAGTTAAAACATTCCTCTTCAGGAACATTATTAATTGATTTCCTGCTCAAATAACCATGGAGGCGACACTTGCCTCCCGTTTACAGCCCTGAGTCAGTGGTGGAAATTCCACGTGCTGTAGCTGGGACATTTCGGCACGCGGAGGCAAAGTGAAAACCCCATAAATCTGGCCCCGAATCGGGGACATCCTGATCTTGGTGACGAGTTCGCGCACAAGTTATCATCTCCAGTGCTAGAGCTCCCCCTGGCGGTGGCTCCCCGTGCACTGCTTGGTCCATTGAAGCCTCCGCTTCCTCAATCCAGTAGGGCAACACTGGGGCATTAAGTGAACGGTTTCATTTCCTGGCACGCAAGGCTTTACGTAAATTTCAGACAGATCTGACTGCGACGCCACACGTGCAAAACGACAAGTTTGGGGAGGATGCCTTCACCCACGCAGGAACTCACTTCCCAGCAAAACGCCGTGCCGAGAAAAATTCCATTACCTCTCGGAATCTTCTAAAATCGTATCTTTTAAACTTGGATTTAAATTATTAACTCACAATCAATAACGTGATGCGCTGCTGGTCAATACTGCAAGCGGCGCAATATTAGTCACTTTTCGTATTTCATCCGAGTCTCTCTCGGGTCGGAGGCCTGTCACACCACACCCAGTAGCACCTCTGACTCTGCACGTGGCTCCCAAGTACCGCGCCTAACCCAGTCTCGCCCAGCGACCCACAACGCATTCGGCGAGAGATTAATATCTGAGCTAAAAGAAACACGCAGCACATCACACGCATCGTATCACGGAAATTAAGCCCCTGATTGCCCGTAACTAAGAAATCCCTCGCATACCGGAGTTAATAAAGGAACACTCGCATACGAGTGCGCAGAGAAAGAAGGGGATGATGTGTGCTTGTAATTTGTTGTAAAGAAAATGAGTGGGCTTGGGCAGGACACGTTGCCAGAAGGGATGACGGTCGGCGGTCCCAGATTAACGATGAAGTTCCAGCAAAGGAGGGGAAAAAATCCACTGGGGAGATGGAACGATCTAATCAGCTTGTGTGCCTACATGGATTGTTGCATTGCTTGGCCTTTATCGAGCAGTGGATAGATTATGGCTGCGGATTATGACAGAAAGTGCTTGAGTATGCATAAGTCTACTCGCTCAGATGGGTATCTAGACTTCTCAAGAAGGGGTCCAGTCCTGAAATTGCAAGGTTTTGAAATAGGGCCCTTAATTAATAAATAAATATACACAAAACATTCAACGTAATTCCTCTGGCAAATAACCATGTAGCCACTTTCGGGGCCTCAAGGGGGGGGGGGGGTGGGGTGTGTCGATCGCCCCCACGTTAGATCTGCCACATTAGCACGTGGCGAGCGCCGGCCAACGCAGCGCACGGACGCCGGTCCCCGTCACGGCGCTCGCTCGGGCCACTGACCCCACGGCACAGGGCAGCGGCAGCGAGGGCTGCCGCTCGCACTCCTCCACGGAGTCGGGGAAAGGCGCGCGCCTCGTCTCGGGCAGCAGCAGCGCCAGCGCTGCCCCCGCCAGCGGCAGGCAGCCGTGCACGGAGAGGGCCGAGACGCCCAGCACGAGCGCCGCCCGGTTCACCAGGGGCGCCAGAAGGCTGCCCACGCTGCCGCACATGGCCACCGCTCCCAGCGCGTTCTGCCTGTGCCCGTGACAACGCGGCCGGCTCCCGTTAGCACGGTTGGCTACGCGCGGTGCGACAGACGTTCAACAGAGATGCCTACGTAAACAAATAAATGTTGTTGGGTTAGATCAGGTATATATAAATGTGTCCTTAATTCATCACCATCATCCGACTCAGACAATTAGTAAGGCTTGGCACGTGAATCAAACCTTGGCAACTGGTTACTTGTCCAGCACACCGGTGTGTTGGAGACTAAGCCCACAGCATTTACAATTTGAGTACGACGTTTCGCTGGTGATCACAACCAGCTTCATCAGGCGATTTGCCACAATTTTGAAGAAGTCTATCTGTTTTGGTCTTAAAAAGAGTACTTGTTATGATGCAGTCACAGACATTACTACGTTAATCTTGGAATATTTAGTACCATTGACTAACAAACATGCAAACAGCTACTCAGAGCGGAACGCCACCAAACGGACCTCAACTGGTCGCGAGATAGGGAAGATGGTGAAGGTGCAGCACTGCTATTGCTCACGCCACTGATTGGCCTCCCACTAGAGGAAGCTCAAGAGAGCACCTCCCGAGGGTATGTTGACCTACATGTCTACACTCGCCAGACGTCTTGAAAGACGTGGCAGTACCGAACACTGTATGGCACCACTTCCGACCTGCCGATCGACTAACTGCGCTGTGTCCGTTTATACTGCTGGGTGGACAAACGCAGAGGAATTTAAGAAACTTTTTTTTCAGCTGCCGGGCCAGAAGATTGAACCCGGTGACCTTTGCTTTGCAAGCTCAGTGTGCTGCTAATCATTACAACCACGTATCCACGTCTTCTTATCCCATCGCAATTGCCAATAGACAATTCATCAAGTATTAATTATAGTAAACTGATAAGCAGGATGCTTGAAAACCAACATGGAATCCCTCCTATATCTGCATCACGTGCTCATCACAGAAAGTCGCGAGATTTGACTAAACATTGTCACTCGGGAAACCCAAATTTCCGCTAAATTTCTTGACAATTTTGCCGAGCAGCACCGTCACTGACATGCGTGGGCTCTGCCGATGTCCTGATGTACACATAAAGGAAATAGAAGTACAGTACAACAAGCGGGCGTGCGACCTTCGTGCGCGCGCGTCTAGGGGTGTTTTCTACGGGGTTGTCGGTTGTCTCCCGAGTTCTCAGGTTTCCTCCCTCATCCAAAAACACTATTTAAAAATGTATTTGCCAAATGCCCAAGGGTAAAATCTTCTTCAAACAAGAGGACTGACACTCAATGAGGATTTTCCGTGGAAATAATCTATATTTACATAAATAGAAGGACACTGTTAAGATTTACAGTTCTCTGGCAAGTAATATGACAATGAATATCTGCATTAATATAGTTCGTGTAGTGCAATTATCCCCTTGAGGCCACACTTCAAAAATTAGTCATGCAACTCGTATAGTGAGTGTGAATACACATTTGTGAATTGGGCATGCTTTTGTGCATGCTCGTGTACAATTGTGTCCGTGGGTGCCATCACGATGGAATTGTGCGTGTCCTTGAATAAAACAAAACGCAATTGATTCCGTCGCAAAAGACGCTTTACATCAAATGAAATAATGACACGAGGATGGTGGAGGGGGTCAGGACAGGGGTGGAGAGAGAGAGAGAGAGAAATGCCGTGCACAGCCTGGGACAAGGCAACCGAGGCCTGGAACCAACAACAACGGCAGCGTGCCCCAGAGATTGCCAGGGCAGCCAGGCCAGCACCAGTGAGCCCGAGAGGCAGCCACGGATGAATAACAACTTGAAGTTTGGATGATGTAAACTACTCTGGAGGCTTGTTTGCAGTTGTACCCTATGGCTTTATGGTGCGTTTTCCGATTTATGAAATAGCTCCCACAATGTGGGAGGCGAAGCGAAACGTCGCCAATGTTGGCAAACGGCACGCGCGGTACAAGCAGAAAACACAGGAAAGCTCCCCGCTGTTGTCTGCAGGCTAATATTACTGTACAGGGTGGTCCAGATGTCTTGTCACCCGCCAATTACTTGACCCCTAATAATTGTTTCCTTTGCATATTCATATCTGTTTTGAATAAACCTCCCGTTAAAAATATAAAGTTTTAGAAAATGTAATTGGGAGGGTCACAAGACATCTGGACCAGCCTTTACATGCTTTGACTGGCAGTGCATAGTCACTCCGGGCAAATTGTTTTAAAGAACTGTCCCTTGCGAACCCACGTCTCTGAATAGATATAACTTAGTTTAACACTTAGTAGGCTTTCGCGACCAATATTATCCATAAAAAAGGATTGTTTTGGGTAACATCGCATCAATATAAATGCGACATTAGATCGCCACCACCACCATCACCACCACCACCCGACACGGCCAATCAGAAGTAAGGATTTGCCACGAAAAACAAAACGTGGCAATCAGTTAGCAGCACACCGGGTGTGTCGGAGAGTAGAAACCCGCGGCGCATGCGATTAGAGCGACGACGTTTCGCCGGCGACGACCTTGCGACAGACCTGCGGCGTCGCGGATCCCGCGGGGAGCGCGCGCTCACCTGACGTTGGTGGGGAAGAGCTCGATCCTGTAGAGGGTAGCGACGCACGCCGTGACCTGGGCGCACAGCTTTCCCAGCAGCGCCAATGCCACCACGACGTTCGCCAACTCTGGGGCGGTGGGGGGGCACAGCCGATCGATCAACCGGTCCGCTGCTCGTCTCGAGCGAGCAGCGGACCGTGGACGCACCGCGAGGTGTGAGCAGGTGAAACACCGAACGAGCCAAGCTTTTTCGGCTACCGGTACGATTGAAAGTAGATTTTTTTTTTTCTTGGGGGGTCAGATCGCGCAAGTGAAACTTGTGTCGTGCACACCCTCCTCCAACCGACACAGCCATTTAATCAAGTTTTCACTTGAAAAACACGTGCTAAATTACTGATTCAGCATAACCGATTTCTGGCAACTGCCTGATAATACCGCTGGCTGTAACTAGCAGCGAAACGTCGTACCCAATCGTTACGGGTTGTGAATTTCTCTCCAACACGCCGGTGGTGCGGAAGCAGTAATAAATTGGTGTGTGTGTGTTCACGTGACAACATTATGAGTTGTCTGTGTCGGGTGGAGGAGGGTGTACGACACACGTTTTACTTTCGCAATCTGACCCAAAAAAATGAGATTTTTCAGTGAAAAATTACCTTAAAATTGCTGAAATGGGATTACGCATAGCAACATCGTCCCCTCAACTGCAAACTAAAAACAAACACTTGTTGGGACCCTCCTGAAAGAGAGACTCAGTGAGGCTTTCCTGAGCAAATGCGCAGTGATAAAGTCAATAAGCATGGAGGATCTGCAGCAGTAGCAGCAGCAGCAGCAGCAGCTCACCTGGGTTGGGCTGCAGCGGCAGGCACAGCAAGCAGGTGGCGCCTGCCACGGAGAGGAAGACGATGCAGAGGGAACGGCGGCCGACGCGACGCATGAGCGGGGGCAGTAGCAGCTGCGGGATCTCGGCCAGGCCCGACAGGAACTGTGCCATGTGAATGTCGAGGCCAAAGTCGCCGACGCTCAGGCACAGGCCGTAGTACGTCATCGACACGGCGGCGCTGGGGGATGTTCGCGGCGAGATGCGTGACGGGACCGCGCACACACGACACGAATGACGCAAAACGCGCAGCGCAGAGGAGCACATTACAGCCTATTCGGGGACAGAGCAGCGAAGTGCATTGTTGTACTGCAATTCTATGATCTCAGCCCCTATGCTTCCCAATCAGCTGTGGTGCTGGCTCATTGGGGGACATGAGCTTACATTATTATTGGGCCCCTGGCCACCTCTAAATGTATCCTTGCGAGACGAATTAAGAGATGTAGATGTAGTGAGACGAGATAAATGTAGGTGAACCTCGAGATGAGATAAGAGAGGTGCAGACAAGACAGAGGTTAGAGTTAGGTATTGGCTTTTTTATCTTGACTATTTTATGGACTCCTATTTCTTTTCATGAATCCACAGCCCATTGAGTTTTGGGGTCTGAAGCTGTTTGCCTGGTTTGCTTGAGCCTAGAGCCACTGCGGCGCCACACACAAAAAAATAACATTTCCGAATCCACCACTTGTACATTGAAGAAGGGCCATTGCTTGAAACGTCCCCTATTATAGAATTATATAAATTACTAAAGTTGAATTATAATTCAATGTTTATGGTAGTGATATTGATGGATGTGTTGAGTTTTACTGCCAAAGCATCACCACATGGTTTATATATTAAGTTTTTGACTTCATACCATGCCTATTGTTGTGCCATCTGAGTTCGATTCCTGGCCATGGTAAACATCAGTGGCAAGTGGTAAATGAAGTGAACCTGGGCCCTCCCTTCATCAACCCAACCCACCATGATCAACGTGGTGAAGTATGGCCAAACAACCCCCTGTAACCAACACGGCGCAGGGAGGCCCTTCGTCCAGCAGTGGATCGATACACGTCTCTAACCGATGAAGTAATATTTACCAAATGTACGACATTATCAGCAGCCTCTTGCGCAACGTGCGATTTCGGAACGTTATGAGCAGTGTGGATTCGTTAGCTCCTCTCCTGTTCGTAAACGTCTCTTCAACATCGACGAGTTCCAGGGCGTGCAGCACCTTCTCCTGCATCACCCAAAGACATGCGGGCACCTGTCAGTCAACGCCGTGTCACCGTTTTGTTTTAACGTTGATAGTTTTGATGTCAATCGCAGAGGCGTCCAACTAACCTCAGACCTCCGGTTGATTATTGACGCCTGCCGCAGCAGATTTCTGGCCTCCGTTGTGCGTTTTTTTAAAAAGAGCCATCGAGGAGACTCTGGCAGTGACCTTGAACACAGAACAACGTGTGAATAAATGCGGTCCTCTCTTTTCAATTGACAGTATTCCAGCACTGAGCAGCACATAGTTACAATTGGAAAATTGATGAATCATTCAAAGGGAGTACCTCTGTAGATTATTAATAGAGCCCCAGCACATGCAACAACAAAAACGATCACACATTTCTACTGAATGAATCCCATCTCTTGAAATGAGATACGTATCAGTAACTGTACACAAATCCACAAGAACATCCTTTCTCGACTTGCGTTCGGTATTTGAGCAGAATGATAAAGCATAATTGGGCAACATTTTCAGAAGTGAAAAATTCCACTGAAGACAGAACGTTTACATTGGGTGGAGGGTTCTAAGAGCGCTCGAGGTGGACAATCACCCACCAGAAGAGAAGCAGAACCATGAGTTGGGGCACCCCAGTGGCAAGGTGGAGTTGTGGCCAATTCTGGCTGATCTTAGCCACTCCAGCCAGGGCCATCATGCCCACGCTGAAGGCCAACGCCAGGATGATCGGCGGCCAGGCCCGGAGTGCGGGGCCACACCACTCCACGCCTGCACGCAGCGTGGCCAGCACAACGCACACCACTCAATGGGGAAGGAACCGCGTACATCCTTCACAGATCCTATGATCACTGTTACATTGTTTTTGTGGCTTTATTTCGGTGATTTTGAGGACGGTGGTTTGGTCTGGCCATGTTTGTTTGTTGTGGTACAGAGTTGGCCTGATAACTTCAATGCACATTGTCTTATGGTTGTTATTGTTTGACTTGCATCCCACTGGGGATTTTTGCATACAGCGTTGAAATGCGGTGTTTTTTCTGGAAGACTTTGCTGGTTTTTTCCCAGGATTATTTCTGTTGTGTGTAGTCACTTTAAGATGTTTCTTGTTCATGTTTTTGTTTTGTTGCGGTTGCACCCGAGTCAAGAGCAGCATGGCTCACAGGGTTATACCTCATACATAAAACTGAAAACTGAAACTGAAAAACAGTACACACTGTATACGCTGCGTGCACTGCACAGACCGTACACTGCACTCACCCACAGCATACACTGAACACAATGAACACACTTCACAAGTTGATGATTACTGTATATTTCCCATCGCCTAGTTTCGCATCTCTCAGCTATTTTCTCTATTCAAGATATCACCCATGTGCCCTTTGAATGTTCTTTCTCAGCCGCAACACTCCAACACTGCTGAGCCAAGGCTTCCCCCAGGTCTCCCACTCTTCACGATCTCTGGCCACCTCCATCCAATTCACTCCTCCAAATCTTGTCATCTCATCCCGACAACGTATTTCTATCTCTCTTCCTCATTCCCTCCATCGACTTTGAGTCTATCTGAGCAAGATGTCCTGCCTAATTTACATTTTTTTTTACTTTGAAAATTACATCTGTCATACTAATTTTAATTCTCAAATCTTTCCTTTATAATGTTGTCTCATCTATCATTAAAGTGGTACATCCAGAAGGGAGGGGCATTCATCTTGTCCCCACCCGAGGCCCTTTGAGACCCTTGAAAATTGGTATTTGATTGATCCTTACCAGAGAAAATACGTGGAAAGTGGTTTATTATTAGAACTTAAAGAAACATAATTTCTATTGCTCTTTGGCAAACTTGTACAATGTTTTACTTGTTATTCTGTTAGGGACCAGGTTTTTCCCGCAATGTTAGTGCCCTGTGCATGTACATTAGTAAACGTGGAAAGCTGGGCTGGGGTAAACCAGCAAAGCCTGAGGTGTGCAGAACAGCTTGTGCTACTACATTGCCAACGGGACACAAGCGAAGATTAAACACAACTTAACACATCCGTCAATAACGATGCCCTAACGGGGAAACCAAATATTTAATCAGCGACTTAACAGACAGTGGCCCTTTTTTCAGAGTAGAGAGAACATTCAGCCATTGCCCGAAGTGTCACCTGTGAAATAATGTCTTGTCTATTTTTAAGTTCTGCTAAGCTCAACCGAACCGCTCAATTCATGTCTGCGGACCTCTTTGATTTTGGCGCGTCAGCTGTCGCTCGCGATGAAAAACGCAACCCACAGTGACGGGGGGAGGGTGGGGAAGGAATGTGTCTCACTCACCTAAACTGAACGAGCAGAGCATTATGCCACTGGCGGTGGTTCCAGTGAGGAGCCGCCCAAGGAGGTAGGTCGGAAAGTTTGGAAGGAATGCGATCACGAACTCGGCTGCTCCCTGAGACGCGACACAGCCGAGCAGCACTGGCCGGCGGCCGTACCTGCGCAAGGCTGAGGTTATTGCGTTTGCTTTAGACTCGCTGTGAATTTAGAGCACGGTCGGCGTGCCCGCTTGAAATGAATGCAGGCGCAGACACGCGGTGCGCTGTGCACAAGGATGTTTACCTGTCTGATGCAATGCCCATGGCTATGGAACCGACGAGTAGCCCGACCATGAACGTGGTTTGTGTATAAAACTTAAAGTCTTGGAGGCTGTACGCTTCGCTCTGCGAATCACGGAGTTTCGGTAAGACAGCACACACACACAAACACGCAACCCACATCGTCATAAATGCCCGTGCGTATCTCTCATATCCGAATTCCTCTATCGTTATCATCACAACTTTGTTGCCAGTGGCTGTATATTTGGGTCCCGTACTGTTCTTTAAAACATTCACACAAATCACAACTTTTAACAAATAACATAATTCCCATACGCGAATGCGCAACGCGCTCTCTTCGCACGACCCTTTACGCGTAATTGCAGCAATCGCATTCGCCACGCGCGGACCTCGCGCGCGACGATTTAACAACGCGCGCCTCTTTACCACTCCACCGCAGCAGCCAGCGGTCAATCCAAGCTCGACCCCGGACGCGTTCACCGACAGGACGGCCTCCACCGTGGCGGCGGCGGCACGCGGCTCGCAGGCGTTGCGGCGGCGTTCCCCGCCGCCGCCGCCGCCGAACGCCGCGAGCTCTCGTCCAGCGGAGCGGTTGCCGCCCGACGCATCGTGTCCGTGTGGCGGCGACCGCACGCACGGGAATAGCGCGCCGCTGAAGCAGTCCAAGAAGAACACGAACGCGGTGATGGTGACATTGGCGGAAAGTTTGAGCAGGATCCTCCTCTGGAACGCGCCCAGTTGTCCAATGAGGGTGAGAAACTCGTCGACATTGATAGGCATGTAGGCAGCAGCAGCAGAAGCGGCGGCGGCGGCAGCGTGCGGTGCTCAGTTGCAGCATGAGCCGACTCGACTCGGTGCATCAGAAAATGCCGGCGAATGAAGGCGGGTGATAGCATGTTTCTGTGAAAGGCACTCACTAATTATATAATGCAGCTGCAGCAGGAAAGCTCAGCGGAGGCTGGCTACCTTGGTTGATGACAAAGTCCACTTTTGGAGGTTACTCTTCTGTTCAACACATGCAGGGAGGTCATGCAAATATTTATCAGTGGCTAATGAGTAACAGACGTTGTTTTGTTGACGAAGTTTTTTTTTCATTCCAGCAATTACAGGTATATCACTTTTATGCTAATAGTCAACAAGCCAGGAGTGGCTGAGTTTGTATGGAGCTGTGGGGTGGTTTATTACATCGCAGGATCGAGGGAGATGGTGGTGGCTTAGGGAGGCCTTCATTCAGCAGTGGGTTAATGAAGGATGATGATCACTTGCACACAAGTGAAAAGTTATAATTCCAAAGAAGAGTTGTAGTTATTCTAATTTTAACTGCTCATGCATATGTAGTGACCGACTCAGATACACTAAGAGTAGGAGCAATGGCGGAGCCAGGATTTTCAGGTGGGGGGGGACAACCCCTCCAGCAATTAAAAAGTCACGTTGAAAAGAAACAACAAAATAATAAAATATATATTGAACAATAAAAATTCTCACGACGTTTCGACCATAACTCAAACGGTCATCTTCAGGTGTGTTGGTTTGCATAAATTTATTTGAAACGGCGCATTTATTTATTTATAAAAAAAAACGTTAGCGTCACGCGCAGCGATTTGGCAGTTTGCCCAGGACTAGTCCATCTATATTTTGAAAAGAGGAGGGGGGAGACGAAATTTTTTATAATGTATGCTGTCTGAAAGCCACTGTAAGCGTGAACAATCAATTAAGAACTGAAATGGTTTATCAAATCTTTCCAATGATTGCTAAGATAGAATCCATCTTCTCGGTTGAAATTGTCTCTGTGCTTGTATATGTGGATAGCCTCATGAACGAATCTCTCATGGAAGCCAGATGGCTTACAAAGAACCTCTGTCTTGGAAAAGGCAATGGCATGTGAGCCTACTGAATTAGAACAATGATCTGCTACGGCCGAGGTGTTGGTCCTACCGTGTTTAAGGTCTGCTTTGTGTTCACGAATGCGGTCCGAGACATGGCGTTTGGTTTCTCCAATGTAACTACTACCACAGAGGCAACTTAGTTTGTAGACACCAGGGTATTGTATGTCCGGAATCACATCTTTTACAGACGGAACCAGATCACGGATTTTATGTAATGTGTTGAAACGGACCTGGATCTTGTGTTTATTCAATATTTTGGAGATCTTTTTTGTGATCCCAGCAATGTAGGGTAAAGTGATGGTTTTGAAAGGCTCCTCAAGAGGGTTCTTCTTCATGGTTTGAGTGATAGCTTTGCGGATTGTATAGTCGGAGTAACCATTAGCCCTAAGAGCTTGGTGTACATGCTTGAGTTCACTGCTTATGTGTTCCTGGTCGGATATGCATTGGGCTCTATGATACAGAGTCTTGATGAGAGAATTCTTCTGTGATGGATGGTGGTGGGAATTCGGTTTCAGATAAGCATCCGTATGGGTAGCTTTCCTGTAGACAGAGTGGCTCATTGAACCATCATTGTTATATATTATATTATTTTGTTGTTTCTCTTCAACGTGACTTTACCGAAAAAACTAAGAATATGAATTACTGCAGTCACGAAAGCTTTAAATCAAAATAGTAATGAGTTGTTAGTAAGTAAGGAGTTGTTAGTAAGTAAGGACTTGTCCCTTGCTTTTTATTCGACGCGTGTGCGGCGATGGCGCGGCCATCGATCGAGGGTCGAATTCGAATCGTGTGTGATCGACATCGATCACACACGATTCGATGCGTCTACAGTACACGACCTCAGGGAAGTCGTGTACTGTAGACGCAACTGCTCACAATTCTGTGAGTCACTTGTAACTGCTTTGCCATTACTTATTTCCAATTATGAACTCAGACTATTGTCCTATCATCTCAGAGTCCCTGGCACGTAATAATACGCTACACAGTGGCAGTGGGGGTCGCAAATTGCCGATTTATTACTAATAAACCCCAATGATCCGATCGAAATGAGGGATTTCGATCGGCTCATTGGGGGCACGTGCCCCCCCCCCCCCCCCCCCCCACTGGCTCCGCCAGTGAGTAGGAGGCACTCTGTTTATTAACACGGCTTGACAGTAACACTTAGTCACTACGGCTCCTAGTCAGGACAGCTGGCAGTCTGCCTGACTGGCGACGCCGAGATGGTGAAGACGGAGACGACGGTGAAGACTCCGGCAGCAGCACAACGGGGACCCCCCAGCGTGGCCTGGCTCCGCCCCCGGCCACGCCTCCTTTCTGGAACCTACTAGCGGGTTCTCGATGTGCCCCTTCCGTGACCCTTCCCTAGATCTCTCTCTGGGCTATCACGGGACCTGCTGTCAGTCAGGGCTGCTGTAAACTGCAGATCCCCTTCCCTGCCAGCAGCCAGCGCTATGCTGCTAAGTGATCGATTCTATGTCACTAGACTTGTATAATTTTGGTAAAAGTGTTCAGACCCACGGTGGCGAGATGTTAACTCGCCTGGTATACAGGAGGTCGTGGTGTTCAATCCCAACCTTGACACCTGCTTTATATTTGAAGTTTGCATGTTCTCCCCGTGGTCATGTGAATTTTTATCCCGGCCCTCCTGTCTTTTCCTCCACATTTATAACTGTATTTTGGCTGTTATACATTTCCACGCGATATGCCAATTCGTTGAGCTATCATTTCTGGCCAGGTCACTTATTAAAAAAGAGCTACAGTATATAGCTCAGTGTGCCTTACCTGGTAAAATAAAACATTTGTTTAACATTTTTTGTTTATTTTCTTTGAACCTATCTACGTGACTTTACCGAAAGACCCAAAGAATATTTAAAAAATGCAGTTTATAATGAGCATATTTCACAGACTTAAACGACCTCAACTCTGAGGCGTGGAGCCAAGCTCCGTGTAGCTTTAATGTCAGGCGAAAGAGGTGGGGTTCTTCTAATGTGAATTGTGTAGGTTCAACACTGGATGGCGTTCCAGACAGTGGAGGCTGGTCCTGGTCCTCGTTATAGCGAGGAGGTTATATTCTTGGTTCTCTCGGTAAAGTCATGTAGAAGGGAACCAATGAAATAATAATATATATAAATATTTTGATTTAAAGCTTTCGTGACTGCAGGGATTCATATTCTTGGTTCTTTCGGTAAAGTCACGTATAAGGGAAACAATGAAATAATAAAAATATAAAACAATAAAATTAATAAAAATATAAAACAATAAAATTATCATATTCTTGGTTCTTTCGGTAAAGTCATGTAGAAGGGAAACAATAAAATAATAAAAATATAAAACAATAAAATTCTCACAACGTTTTGACTGCAACACAAGCAATCATCATCAGGTGTGAAAAATCAAACTAAAATAATCTTTATTGTTTTAAATTTTTATTATTTTATTGTTTCCCTTATACGTGACTTTACCGAAAGAACCAATAATATAAATCCCTGCATTCACGAACGCTTTAAAGCGAGGAGGTTGTTGTGACTTGCGTGGCAAAGAGTTTATTTCATACCATGACAGCAGTGGAGAGATGCGGTGGACGACCAAAAATTAGAGGTGTCGTGGTGGCACACAGAACGTGCCAATTCGCATAGTACAGCACACCGGTGTGTTGGAGAGCCAAGCCACAACATTGTTCTGTTTACGTGACAACCCTCACTCACTCGCTGTGTCGGGTGGTGACACGTTTATATATTGAAGCGATCTAACCCAAAAAAACCTCTATTATGGATGATATTGGTCGCGAAAGCCTCCTACGTGTTAAACTAGGAGCATTCCCTTTGTCCGTCAACTAAATGATGAGAGCCTTTCCGAAGGCCTGAATCTACACACACACCCTACATACAATAGTCAGTAGTATTTACATATATACATACACACCCTACATACAATAGTCAGTAGTATCTACATATATACATACACACCCTACATAAATAGACAGTAGTATCTACATATATACATACACACCCTACATACAATAGTCAGTAGTATCTACATATATACATACACACCCTACATACAATAGTCAGTAGAATCTACATATATACATACCCTACATACAATAGACAGTAGTATCTACATATATACATACACACCCTACATACAATAGTCAGTAGTATGTAACATATATACATACACACCATACATACAACAGTCAGTAGTATCTACATATATACATAAACACCCTACATACAATAGTCAGGAGTATCTACATATATACATAGACATCCTACATACAATAGTCAGTAGTATCTACATATATACATACACACCCTCCATACAATAGTCAGTAGTATCTACATACATGACTACACACCCTACATACAATAGTCAGTAGTATCTACATACATGCCTACACACCCTACGTACAATAGAGTCAGTAGTGTCTACATACATGCCTACACACCCTACATACAATATGGTCAGTAGTATCTACATATATACATACACACCCTAGATACAATAGTCAGTAGTATCTACATACATGCCTACACACCCTACGTACAATAGAGTCAGTAGTACCTGCATATATACATACACACCCTCCATACAATAGTCAGTAGTCTCTACATATATACATACACACCCCACATACAATAGTCAGTAGTATCTACATACATGCAGACACACCCTACATACAATAGTCAGTAGTATCTACATACATGCCTACACACCCTACATACAATAGTCAGTAGTATCTACATGCATGCCTACACACCCTACGTACAATAGTCAGTAGTATCTACATACAGTGAGGGAAAAAAGTATTTGATCCCCTGCTGATTTTGTACGTTTGCCCACTGACAAAGAAATGATCCGCCTATAATTTTAATGGTAGGTTTATTTGAACAGTGAGAGACAGAATAACAACAAGAATATCCAGAAAAATGCACGTCAAAAATGTTATAAGTTGATTTGCATTTTAATGAGGGAAATAAGTATTTGACCCCCTCTCAATCAGAAAGATTTCTGGCTCCCAGGTGTCTTTTATACAGGTAACAAGCTGAGATTAGGAGCACTCCCTTTAAGAGTGTGCTCCTAATCTCAGCTCGTTACCTTATAAAAGACACCTGTCCACAGAAGAAATCAATCAATCAGATTCCAAACTCTCCACCATGGCCAAGACCAAAGAGCTCTCCAAGGATGTCAGGGACAAGATTGTAGACCTACACAAGGCTGGAATGGGCTACAAGACCATTGCCAAGCAGCTTGGTGAGAAGGTAACAACAGATGGTGCGATTATTTGCAAATGGAAGAAACACAAAAGAACTGTCAATCTCCCTCGGCCTGGGGCTCCATGCAAGATCTCACCTCGTGGAGTTGCAATGATCATGAGAATGGTGAGGAATCAGCCCAGAACTACACGGGAGGATCTTGTCAATGATCTCAATGCAGCTGGGACCATAGTCACCAAGAAAACAATTGGTAACACACTACGCCATGAAGGACTGAAATCCTGCAGCGCCCGCAAGGCCCCCCTGCTCAAGAAAG